GGTGAGGTATGCAGCTATGTAAATATGCATGAAATGTTAGTAGTTGCGTGTGCTTGTCTTCTTGCAAAGAGTGACGATGCTGAGGCTGCGAAGTACTTGAATTTTCTGAGCTGAATCTGTTTTGGTTATTATTTGGTCTCAAGCAGGTATAGGCTGTCAAACGTTAATATCGCCCGTAGACTGTTTATAAAGGACTAGGTTGAGTGGGGGCTGTGCATGTACACCCTGTATTCAAGTATAAGTCGGTTAATTTAGTTATTTTTTCAACCATCCAGAAGTCACACTATTACTGCGAAGTGTTAGTCCAAAATACTTTCTAAATGCAGTTTTTTCTGCTCTTAACTATTTTGACATAAAGAATGTCTCCGAGTCTACGTCAATCTACTGCAAGGTAACTGCTGCGAAGCTCTGTCGACAACCAACACAAATACTTTAATCGACCATATCTCTTTCGTGTGAAGCGACATGCAAATTTATCTATTCTAACTGTTTTCATAGTAATGACTTTCCGATATATATGCTTGTTTCGGTACAGTATATCTGGCAGACCACAAAGTATATCAGAGACCAATGTTTAAGTTATTACATTCTGGTACTTCAAGTAAAATTATCAAAACAAACATAGCATCTTTTGTAGCTAAGAATGTCGTCTGCAGGTTTCGGGAGCATTCTACGGAGTAGAGCTTAGTCACACTGCTGCGTTAAGTGCTTGGGCATCTAAATTTAAAATTCTAACAATTTTAATGTGTTCATGTTCTGCTCGGATAGTTTCTTCGGTGGGGCTTGAAGGTTGAATAACACAGAAAAATGTTTTGAGGGAATTATCTAATGATTTGTCTGAGTTTCATATACCACTATTTCTTTCATTGTTCTCTTGTGGTTTATGATTGCAGCTTGTTTAGGAGCGGTTCAGTTTCAAAAGGCGAAACAGGAATAATGCTCAAGAAGAGATGAAAGAACATGACACGTGCTTCGATAGCACGTCTAAAGATGAAGTAATTTTTATTCAGTATCTTTCTGTCTTTGACTGTATCACCATTTACTTTGCATTTACATTGAACTTCCTGTTGATTTCCACGTTTTCAATGCATCTGTAGTGTAACCATAGAGGGTTTGAGTTCCTAAATAGTATCCTGAAAAGCCGCGGTAACTAGTCGCGGGTTTTATGTGTCTCTGTATTCCACGGTTTGTCAAGACTCACGGGATATGACTGCTTTGCCAAAACATGGGCAGTGCTTCATTTACTATTAAATAAGATTTGAACTTAATCTCTATTGTTTGCCTGTTTTTTTCCAAAATATAACAACACTGGATTTGCGTGTCCTAGTCATATGCAGCATTCGGGAGCTGCGCTGTTGTATAGTATGCTGAAAGATCATAGCTTCGTATTTGCTATGGTTTTGAAGCGTCTGTATATTTTACCGGCTCACAGGGCTCTTATGGGGCAACGACTGGTTAGCAGAGCCATACAGAAAACATTCGTTTTCTTGTACTCTTACCGAAATATGAAATTCTACATGTTAGTTAACGTTTTGTAGTGCAAAAATAAATTATAACTATTTACGCGATA